GGCCGTCCAGAAGCCGGTGACTGATCTGCCTCACCCGGGAAGAGTGCAATGATGGTGCTAACTTGGGCCAGTAAAGCAATGTCCTCCACAACTAGACTGAAGAACAAAACGACAGCAACTTGTCAATTCCCCTTCCCCCAATTCCCTAGCACTGTTCCCATCCCCGCAATTCCCCAATAAAAATCTTAAAAAAAAAAAGTAACTGTGGGAGCTCCAATTTGTGATGCCTCCTTGGCCCTGCACAGACACCATGGCATTCTCCTGCCCACTGTCACAGCCACTCTGAGCCCCTGCCCACCCACCACCACTGCAGCCGCTGTTTGGGCTTCTCTGCCCCAAGAACAGCTATCACCACCACAGTTTACTTACGGGCAGGTAGGAGACAGGAAAGTCAAACTTATAGTCTTCAGCTTGAAGTTTATACACCAGCTTCATCATTGGGCCACTAAACATGAAATTAAACCAACAAAAACAGGGCAAATGAACTGCAAACCATCTTGCTTTGTTTCTTAACTTTGAGAAATACAGCGATTTAAAAATGGGATCACCAGAGGAAACATCCAGCCCCGCAGGGGACAAACCTACCTACCCAGGGTCTAGAAATTCCATTGCAATGCTGTATTCTACAGGGCTCACACGTCCCTGTAAGCAGCGAAGGTTCCAGCCGATGAGGATGCCATCCAAGCTGCCGAATATGCTCTCTACCAGCCATGGGAAGATAGCGTGCAGCTCCTGAAACAGTGTGCTGGTGAGCCTCTTGGCAGACTCCCTGAGGACCAGTGCCCACTGCCAGGCTGTGTGCTACGTGGGCCTCCCACCCCAGCTCCAGTCCTGCACCACGAGCTACCCGCCTCCCTCCTGGCCCTGAGCTCTGAGGTTGTTACTCCCTGGTTCAGAGGCCCACAGGACTAGCCCGGCACCCACAGGAAGCCTGGCGCAGCAGTGCTAACAGGAGCAGCAGCTTTGGAATCTTTCATTGTGGTTACGTGGCATACCAAGAAGTACTGCTTTATATCTGGGCCAGTGAAATAAATCAGCTTATTTAAAATGTTTTTTATAAAATGTCAGAAATTTCTGCTCTGAAAAGAGCTTTATTAAAAAGGGCAGCAACATTCTTTCTCAGGGTGAGCCCTTGAAGCTGAGATTTACTGACATTTGGTAGTAACTCCTTATCCAAGCTGGCTTCTTGAACTTACCTATATTTACTACTTGACAATTCCGGCTGTGATGTAAATACCTATTTTCAGTATTTACAACAAGGTTTCTCAACTTCGGTACTGTTGACATTTTAGGCTGAACACTTCTTTGTTGTGGGGGCTGTCCTGTGCATTGTGGGATGGTTACCAGCATACCTGGCCTCTACCCACTCGATGCCAGTAGCACCACCCCTGTGTGACAACTAAAAATGTCCCTAGACATTGCCAAAAATTGCATTTGGGAAAAAAGCATCCAGGGTCAAAAACTCCTGGTCTACATGTTCATATGTTTAAATGTGTCCATAAATGCAAGTCACAATGCCAGGTAAGGCTTCTGTGCAGGGCAGTGCTCAGAGGTGGGAACCAGGTCTATAACAACATTTTTCAAGGCGTGTATGAGATATGCACCAAAGAGACGCTAGCAAAGCTGTACCTTTGCTGGAAAATCCTCAATGACTTTAACCAAGTCTTGGCACCGCTGTGCAAAGGGCTTATTTATAGAATCAGCTTTCAGGCTAGCCTAGAAGAAACCAAAAAAATCATGAGCATAGTCACTTTGCAGCTTTTGATATTCCAGCTCTAGTCAAAACAGAAATCCAAGCGGTTTGAGTCAGCCCGAGCTGAGCAGCCGCTGAGCTGCCAACAGGTGGCAGGATGGCTCAGCTAAAAAAAAACAAAAAAAACCAAACAGAAATCCAAGTAATGGGCAGGAGTGAGAAACACACCACTGGCCTGACTCTGTAGTACCTCTATATCAGGTCATGCATGTGTCGGTGGCCTAAAGGATGCTACTAGAACAGAGGCCAAAGTTCCATGGTCTTTAGTCCAGTAATAGTCAGGCTTACTTCCCATAACCCTGTCAGGCATGTCCAGTTACCTCAAAGAACTGCACATTATCAGAAAAAAAATGACTTCTGCCTGATCCACAAGCAGGGGGGTCAGCCCCAGATGCAGGAGAGGCCCCACTGTGCAGGGCTCCCCTCAGTGACCACAGAGTGCTCACCAAGTGTGTATGCATGAACTGGAAATTCCCTACATGACTGACCACCCATGATTTATACCACTGTGAACGTCAGTGAGAATGCCCAATAAAATGAGGGTGTCATTTGTTGTCAGTTCAGCCCTTAACCAAGATGTCTCTTATTCAATAGATAATGAACCTGCTGAACCTTCATTACCTTAAGAAACAAGTAGACTAAAAACTACAGACAGCTTCAGCCAAGTGCTGACACTCATTATGATGTCTACGGAGAGGCCAGAAACATTCATGACGAGAACTAAGGAAATCTACCTGAGGTCATGGGGTGTAAGGAAAACATGTATGTATCCTGAGACTAAATGAAGAAAATAGGCCCCTATACAAATGGATGAAGATTAAGAGGAAATGCTAGAGTTTAACCAAGAAGGCTTTGCCCAAGGACATCTAAGGCCTTGTCTATCTCCAAATGAGGGTGGAGTACATGGGAGCCGAGTCAGAGGCAGAGGCTTGGGCTGTTTAGACCATAGGTAGGATCTGGTGACTCTAGAGGGTGCAGGGAGAATGTTTCAGATAAATGTTTATAGAAAGTATCTTTTGGGAAATGAAATTTTAAACTCTCACCACTAATATTTGCCTCACACTTAACTTCTCAGCAACATGTTTAACATTTTANCTGCACAGTCCAGCCTGCTCAGACTGGCACAAAAGGCTCTTCACCCCAGGGCCTCTGGCTCAGGACAAGACCTAGTCCTGGAGCTCAGATTCCTACTATAGTCATGTATTGCATGACGTTTTAGTCAACAATGGACCACATAGATCGTGGTAGTAGGTCTCACTAAGATTATAATGAAGCTGAAAAATTTCTTTTGCCAAGTGACATCTTAGAGCAACACTACGCTATTTTAAAAAATAAATTTAGTAGCCTAAGTGTACACTATTTATAAAGCCTACAATAATGCACAGTAATGTCCTAGGCCTTCACATTCATTCACCACTCACTCATGGAGTCACCCAGAGTAACTTCCAGTCCTGCAAATTCCATTCGTGGTAGGTGCTCTATCTAGGTATACCATTTTTTTTTACCTTTTATACTGTCCTTTTACTGTACTTCTATGTTTAGATACACAAATACTATTGTGTTACAACTGCCTACAGTATTCGGTACACTAACATGCCGTTTACGTTTGTAGCCCAGGAGCAATAGGCTGTACCATACAGCCTGGGTGTGTAGTAACTGTCCAGGTTTCAGTGTACTCTATGATGGTTGCACAATAACGAAATCACCTAATGACACATTTCTCAGAACATATCCCCATCATAAGTGATACACAACTGTATTCCTACTCATCCATGGGTCAGCCCATCTATAACCTGCCTACAAGCGCTTTCTCTCCAAAACCATCAGCCCGGCGCCACAGTTGGTTCTCAGCTTTAAGTCCCCCACCACCCTGCTCACCACCCTCAGTGTGGGCTTGGATGCTGCGCATGGGAAGGGCTGCTAATGGGCAGAACGCAGCCCGTTCCCATAGCAGAGCCATGCAGCCTCAGGATCTGATTACTTCAGCCATGAAAACCGAAACACAGATGTCCTCCTCACTCCTGCCCTTTAGTCTGTGCTAGGGCAGCTGGGGTTGGGAAATCTTAGGCATAACAAAAACTGGGGAGCCCTGGACAAAGAGTGGCACCATTGTTCCATGAGCAGTGCCCACTGACCAGGCCACTTCCTCGTGGAAGGGCCAGACCCTAACAGCTAGTGGCAGGCATGGACCACCTCAGGCACTGGAAAAGGGCTAGCAGAGCCTTACCTGGGAGCTGGTGAGGGACTAGGCCCCCCTGGACTGGAGGAGAGTGGAGGGAGCACGTTGCCTTCTGTGGGCAAGAACCACGACAGGTATCTGTCCACCAGGATGAAATAGGCACAGTCTGAAGTACGGACGTGGAGGGCCCCGGGGAGTGGCTAAAAATGAAACTTGAGTTAGTATGCGGCTGTGGGCACCACACCAGGCTGCTGACCCCAGCAATCACACAGAAGCCCTGGGATGTGAGCTGTGTCCCTGAGGCTGGCTCATGAGCAACGAGGGCAGTGCCGGGAGAAAAGTTGCCACCACCAAGAGCCTGAATGGACCCTTAGTCCTGCCCTGCATGAGAAACCCCAGGACAACCTCCACCCTGACCCCATGCCCAGCAAGCACCTCCTGTGGGAAGCTCCACGGACTGCCACATGGAGTGCCTAGAGCAGCCCACATGGCCTGTCAAGTCTGCCCACCAGTCTGGTGTCCTAAGTGTCCTAAGGTGGCCTGAAGAACAAAGGCTGGAGGAGGAAGGACAGGAGGACCCAAAGAAACGAGGCAGGAAGGAAAAAGGGAAAATGGAAGACAAAGAAAGGCTGACAGCTGGCTTCCAGGCAAATCCCAAGCTCCCCCTGCTGCGTGAAAACAAGACCCTGGGTCACGGGCCCCTCCCTTCACAGGGGGTCTCGGGTAAAGCAAACCTGGCTCAGAGCATCCCTTCTGTACCTTTTGAGTGATGAGGCTCAAAGCAAAGAAGAACATGTAATATTCAAACGGATCTGACAGCAGCGTTAGGGGGAAAATGGCAGTGTTATTGAGTCACCCCCCAGTGCTATGCTGGCCATCCCCAGCCTCCCTACCCATTGGACCAGCAAAGGATACTGAGGGCCAGGTTTAGGCCAAGACCCCCGGTGGTGGGGAATTGGACCTTGTTGTGGTACAGAGGGCTGTCAGGGAGCACACGCTCCTGGATGGACGCCTTCACGGGGCCCTGTGGAGAGAGGGAGGTGGGCTTGAGGGCAGATTCCAGCACAGTGCTCATCCTACATGTGGTGCAGCCCTTTAGGAAGGCTGCTGAGGATGAGGCCAGCACACAGACCCTGCCCGTGCAAAGAGTGCTGTCCTCTGTGTAGCGCTTGAGCAAAAGAGCCTTTACTGAGAATCACTCATTTCATTCTCATAAACGACTCAAACAGCAAGGGCGGCAGCTGTGCACATTTCTGAGCCCAGCCAAGCACCTGATGAATCCCATCTCCTCTGCTTCTCATACCCATTGAGCAAGTCACCCTTTGCAACCAGTCACATGG